GAAACAGGTGCCAAAATAACTTTGTACCACCCCACGATCTCGGGACTGGAAGATGTGTAAAGGTCACAGCCCACAATGTATCTGCCTGGTTTGCATATTTGTGTCAATAAAAGGAGGCTCCACAGGGCTAGCCAGCAGCTCGCTTTCAGCTCACCTGTGTGCAGCTCACCTGCATTATCAACTCCTGCCTCATGTCCATCACTTCATCACCCCATGCTCGGGGTTCTTGCTCCTGTCGTGCAACGATAAAGATCGTGATCTACTGACTGCTGTTTTGCTCCAAATTACTTGGCTGGAACTTCCTTCTTTTACTGACTGCATGGACCCACGGGGGACTTGCACCCCGATGAGCTGGGCTGTTGAGTAGGCTCTCACCCCAGAATTTTTCCCCCTTAACAGAGGTATTCTGTATCTGTCTTGGTACCTTACTCCCTCTCCCACCACTGCAGCAAAGCCCCCACCCCCACCAATTTTGGCTCAGCATATCTGAACGATGTAAGTGCCCCAAATCGTACCTCTCTGTCCAGTGTGCAAGTTCCTTAATAATTATGACCTGCCAGAAAGACCCAAAGGTGTGTGTGTCCTCCCCCCCCCCCGCAAACGTAATATCCATGTATTTTTTAATATAAAAAACCACCCAATTGTACTGCTGATGGTCTGGGCCTTTGGTTCTAACCATTGTTCATGCTTTCTGTTTTCAGCTGCAGAGTAATGGTGACAGCCCTGTGAGAGTTACACAACCAGTCTCCCAGTGTTTGCCAAACTCATTGTGCCTAATCGTACCGTGACAGTTCCCTGAGAAGCCAGAAGGAGCAAGCAAAGGAAAGAAAGAGAGAGAGAGAATCTATAAAAGGACAAAAGGCTATGAAAAGGCAGGATTAGCCTTTGGGGAATCCACCCTGAGCACAACGGGTAACGCTAAACCTCTCAAAGGGTTGGTCCAAACCAGTTCTTCATTATGTCCTTGAAAAAGGAGCCACTTAAGCGGGTTGTGTAAGAAAAACATTCCGCGGCTGGGACAATACATGCTGCCCAGATTGTCATGGGCTTCAGCCATGTGAGAGCAACAAAATCCATGTGTGCAAAGGCTGAAGATATCTGGCAAGGGCCAGGGAACTGTTGTGAACAACTTGCCAGGAGGCTGAGGCTGGGATGTGAGGACAGAAGCTGCTTAGATCTGGCTCAGTAACATCGAAACTGGGGAAAGGAACACAGGAGGCCTTATTCTGAGCCAGACTGGCTCAGTATTCTCTGGACACAAATTGGCAGCGGTTCTCCCAGGATTCCAGGAAGGGGAAATTAACAGTGATGCCAGGTATAGAACGTGGGACCTTTTGCTCTACCCCTGAGCCACAGCTCTTCCCAAAAGGGAAGAAAGGGCTGTCTCAAAACTATCTGTCGCTGGGGAAAATGGAGAGCACAGTCCAAGACCAAACCCTGGCTCTGGGTGGGGAAAGTGGCAGATGTTCCAAAAGTCATAAATACTCTCAATCTTTATTACGGTCCAGTGACCCAACAAATCGTTACAAAGCAGTACACAATTCATATAGCCTACCTCCGGGTTAAACAAGCATTTTATCTCCGGGTTAACCTCCGGGTTAAACAATTGCCACAACCATTTCCGGAGCACCTTTGGAGCCTTGGGAGTGAGAAGTCCTAAAGGGAGTATTGGCATCAGTCGCCCCGTCGACACTTAGATCATATAAAAAGGCTTGATCAGACTTCATGGCATTTCGCAATAAACTAGCCAATGTTATGCAGGACGCCCCCCTAAAAAGGCTGAGGTGTTAAAATATTTGGTCCACTTACGGGGCTTGGGTCGCGCACCTAAAACCCTGAACATGCAGTCTGCAGCAATGTCCTTTTTCTGTAAGGCCCTGTACTCGGTAGATCCTTGTGCTGATTTCCTGGTACGTAAAGCGCTGGAGGGCTGGCGCAGGCTCCAGCCTCCCAGCTCTGATGGCAGAAGACCCATAACATTTGACATTCTGAGTCAAATCCACAAAAAACTAAGGACCTGTCAGGGAACTGACATCGGAGCTAGGGGCGAAGGGAAGGCTCTCAGATGATGCTGGAGAAGGGCCCAGCAGGGGGAGAGGCAGCTCAGTAGAGGGGGAAGCAAATCAGCGCAACACCAGGGATAAAGGGGGGCAGATGGGGGAATCGGCGAGAGGGCTCCAGGACTCTTCACTGGACACCAGCGGGGAGAGCGCAGGTCCTCCGCTACCCACACCCTCCCTGCGCAGAAGACTTCCGTGCAGTGAGAGGAGGAGGAGACTGGGCGTCAAACAACTTTTATGTTGGAAGAGGTTTAAGAAACGCCCACTGACGGATTCTGCTAGCGACTGAGGCAGCCACGGTGAGAAGGGCTGTCCAGTCAGAAAGGTTTAACAAGGCAATTTAGTCTGGAGAGGCGGCAGCTTACGCACGAGCAACCCATACGCATTACAGGACCATTTGCTAGTCTAAGTACGAAGCACGCCTATTTTCAGCAGCATACTCCGTCGCCTTTTTTGGCACCTTACGCATAGGCGAAGTGGTGTGCGACGACCAGCCTGGTTATATTGCATGGGGGATTCTCTTAAAGGACCTGACATTATCTCACTCAGACGTGGTTCTCCATATCCGGAGCTCTAAAACTGATCAGTTAGGAAAAGGGGCCTTGATTCGGCTTATAGCAACTCAAAAAAAGGGGCCATGCCCAGTAAAGGACACAAGGCGATTCATATATTTGAGACCAAATACCCCTAGCCCTTTTTTTCATACATGCGGATGGCTCCCGCCTGACGAGGCATCAGTTTACACGAGTCATGCGTAAGGCAATTGCTGCGTGTGGCCTTCCCCCTGCGGAATTTGCGGCTCATTCTTTTCGGATCAGGGCAGCCACTACAGCAGTACACTTAGGCCTCCCAGCTGAAAGAATAAAGGATCTAGGGCGGTGGCAAGCCAGACGCCTTTAAGGGGTACGTTTGGAGCCCTTTGTGCATTGTCCCTGCCCCCTCCTCGTTATGTTCTTTCCCCTTTAGGTGACGGGGCTGTGTGCGTCGGATCATAGAAGAGTTTGGATTTGATATCCCGCTTTATCACTACCCGAAGGAGTCTCAAAGCGGCTAACATTCTCCTTTCCCTTCCTCCCCCACAACAAACACTCTGTGAGGTGAGTGAGGCTGAGAGACTTCAGAGAAGTGTGACTAGCCCACAGCAGCTGCATGTGGAGGAGGGGGGAATCGAACCTGGTTCACCAGATTACGAATCTACCGCTCTTAACCACTACACCACACTGGCTCTCAAGTATCAAGTGTACTATGGCTCTCAAGGCCATAGTATTGTGCACTGGGCCAGAAATCATGCTAACCGTGGGCAGGGGTGCACACTAAATTTACCAAAATGCGTGGAGAAATCATGTTAACCATGGGCAGGGGTGCATGCTAAATTTACCAAAATGCGTGGAGATTTCCTGGATTACGCACCGACTGTGAAAGCTAGAGCTGCCATAGAAGGCACACCGGATGCCCTTGTCATCCAGTTGGGTGAAAAGGATTTGGCCTACAGAAAGGGTGTGGACTTAATGTGGAACATTTACAGCGATTTTGACAAATCGAAAAATTATTTCCCAAAGCTAGTATTAATTTGCTCGTCACTGTTGGAAAAGGCGTACATGGAGGGATTGCAGATGCCCTATTGCTATAAATAAGTCCAGAAAGATCCTGGAACGCTCAGTGGCTCATAGAGTGGCAGCGCTGGGGGGGGGGCGGGTCATTGACCACCCCAACATTCAATTCAGCAGGGTGGCCCTCTGCCGTGGGGATGGCGTACATCTTTCCAATGAGGGGAACGATGTTTGGCTGGTGGACATTTCTGTGGGGATTAGGGATTGGTTACAGGTCTGAGGGTACTGGCGGCGAGCTTTGCTCGAGTGGCGGTTAGGCATTGGTCGGGTGTATTGTTATGTAGATGAATGGGGGGGAGCGCCATCACCTCCCCCGGTTATTGAAGGGTACTCTGGTAAAGGACTCCAGGGGGCGTGGCCACGTCCAAAGCCTATGGAGGCCAGGGCCCAAGGCACGCCCCTGAGCGGTGACCCCGGGGGAGTGCCTAGTTGATGTGCATCAGCAGGACTCCCCCTGCTGGTGTTAACCCTTCCCGGCCTTCAGGCAGACAGACTGAAGCCGGATAGTTGATTAGATTAGGACCAATGCCTAAACCAATACAGCTCATCACCTGGAATCAATAAAGTTGTGGCCAATTTTAGCCCATTAACCTTAATTATGGTGTCGTGTGTCGTTCTTTCTACTGGGGGGAGGAGGGAACTCGCCATGCAATCAGAACCATGTAACAAAATGAAATATTATGTACAGATCCTCAGCGACTTAGGTGTGAAATGCAATTATCCAGTACAAGTATGGGAGGATAATCAAGCAGTCATCTCATTAGTGGGTTCTGAGCAGTAGACTGAAAGTATACCGTGCCGAAGAGAGGAAGAAGGACTGTAAATAGCTTGTCGATAGCAGTAACTGAAAATGCTTGGATAACCAAATAAAGTAGTTCTTGGAAGTGCAAGAAGCCAGGACAGCCAGTGGGATTACAGCGATCCGCGCGCAGCTTCCGCAGGGCAGTGGGGAGCCTTCATCCCACTGCCCTGCAGAGGCTTCGCACGGCTATCCCTGGCTTTTGCGGGAGATGGGGGAAGGGACAGAGCGCGTGGCTCTTGCGGGAGGTGGGGGGAAAGGCAGCATGCTTGCTTTCACTGAAGCCAGGAGGGCAAGCGGGATCGGTGCACACCGATCCCGCTTGCTCTCCTGGCTTCAGGGATAGCCCCGCAAAGCCTCCTGAGCGAAGATGGAGGAGCGCTCCCTCTTCGCTCAGGATGCTTTGCGTTGCTTTCTTATTTCTTGATTTCCTCCTCTCAAAACTAGGTGCGTCCTATGATTCAGTGCGCGAAAAATGTGGTACTTCCTTTGCTTTTCTCGTGTGAATGCCACATAACAGGGACACCTGGCTTTATGCCCACATTCCATCATGCTTTATTTGAAAGTCCACAGCCACAAGGCAGGAGCCATGGTTGGGGGTCTACCATGTCGATCCTTGGGACCTGCCAGCGTATAACAACCAACAAGTCCAGAAGCAAATGCTACAAGTCTTTCTTTTCTTTTCAGGCGTAAGGTCAAAGCTTAAACACACTTTGCAAGGAGATGGCAATTCAAGACGCACTGAAGTTCTTTGGGCTCAGTAGAGGAGAGGATGGGAAGGGCAGCAATGGGGAAAGAAGAATGATAAACACAGAGAGGCATAGACCCAGCCGAAGGAAGCCCAGTCCACAGGTAGGAACGAGGCCTAATTTGAGAGCAAAATCTTGAAGCCGCCCCTTACAAAAGCCCTTGGGCGAGGGCCAGGAAAGGGAAGAAGACCGCTTCCCTCTCCCTGAGCAGCCAGAGAGACCAGCTTGTGCAAGAGCACAGTGGCAGGGGAGGAAAGATTTGGTTTCCACTCAACGCGGGACGATGCAGAGCTTGTAGAAGGGCGGGATGGTGGCAAAGCCGCACTCCTGGGGGGTTGTGTCAATGTCCTTGGGGTCCACAAGGGGCTTCAGCCGGAATCTCTGCAGGGTGGTGGTGAAAAAAAGGAAGAGCTCCATTCGGGCCAGCGTTTCACCCAGACACACCCGTTTCCCTGCAAGGCGAAAGGGAGAAGAATCAGCAGGGAGGGAAGACATGGGATTTGGGGTTAGAGGCCAGGTTTAGGTCAAGTCCAACGTCCTTGAGGTGTGAATGGAACAGCTGAAATCCATGTGAATGGAGGGAGGGGAGTTTTCCTCTCTTATAGGACTAAAACCCTGTTGTTGTTTTGGCAGATCTCTCTGTGTGAGCGTGTGTGTCATCCAGTGAAACTTAGGGGCAAGAGATCTAGGATGGCAAAAGGAAGTATTGTATTTTTTGCTCTATAAGACTCACTTTTTCCCTCCTAAAAAGTAAGGGGAGATGTGTGTGCATCTTATGGCGCAAATGCAGGCTGCGCAGCTATCCCAGAAGCCAGAACGGCAAGAGGGATTGCTGCTTTCGCTGCGCAGCGATCCCTCTTGCTGTTCTGGCTTCTGAGATTCAGAATATTTTTTTTCTTGTTTTCCTCCTCCAAAAGCTAGGTGTGTCTTGTGGTCTGGTGCGTCTTATAGAGCGAAAAATACGGTATTTCTTCAGACTGTGTATGTAAAATGGGCTTATAGATTCATAGAATCGTAGAACTGGAAGGGAACCAACTCTCTCCCCCACCCCAACCCCAGACTTGTCCCTTACTTTGACCGACCAAAGTTGGCAGCCCCACCTACAACCAATACTTCCTTCCAGCAGATTTTGCCCATATATTTGTTATTAACATCTCCCCATCCCTTTGCACATTTATTTATTATGGTGCGCGTTAGGGAGTAGGGTATGTGTAAACACTACCAACAACCAGGTAAAAGCCACAGTGCAATGAAGGTTTCGTTTTCTGTAGGAGACCCAGGTTCACTGTTAGTTTCTCTTTGTTGCCACTGTGCAGTTCTTGGAGTCACAAGACTCTGTTTACATTCCAGAGATTCCATACTGTTGGAAGTCTCACGGGAGAGGGATGTGACGTTACTGGTTTCCTGTTCCTTTGTTTTTTGGTTGCTCTCTGCTCTCACAGAGAGAGGATATATTTCTTTTCTGTCTGTGTAGCTTAATAATAAAACTCTTAGCATGTAGCTCATGCTATCTCAGCTCCTTCCCTGTGTTGGATACTCTGCAGAATGGGGAACGTGCTTGGAGCCTTATCAGAGGCTCAGGTCATTAATTACGTCGGAGAAGGGCGATTCCGAAAGAGTTGCTCGGTCGAACGCAAGTCCGACATTCACAACTTCAAAAAGTGAAGGAGGAGAGGATGGGAGAGGTTCTCATTTCCAAAATAAAAATTAAAGTGTTTAAGACAGGCTTCCTCAACCTCGGCCCTCCAGATGTTTTGGCCTACAACTCCCATGATCCCTAGCTAGCAGAACCAGTGGTCAGGAATGATGGGAACTGTAGTCTCAAGACATCTGGAGGGCCAAGGTTGAGGAAACCTGGTTTAAGAGGAGGCCTTGGTCTAGTATACCTGAAGGAGCGTCTCCACCCTATTGTTCTCCCCAGACACTGAGGTCCAGCACCGAGGGCCTTCTGGTGGTTCCCTCGCTGCGAGAAGCCAAGTTACAGGGAACCAGGCAGAGGGCCTTCTCGGTAGTGGCACCCACCCTGTGGAATGCTCTCCCACCAGATGTCAAAGAGTAAAACAACTACCAGACTTTTAGAAGACATCTGAAGGCAGCCTTGTTTAGGGAAGCTTTTAATGTTTAATAGATATTTTAATATTCTGTTGGAAGCCGGCCAGAGTGGCTGGGGAAACCCAGCCAGATGGGCGGGGTATAAATAATAAATTTATTGTTATTGTTATTGTTATTGTTAATCTACCTGAGGAGAATGGCATGAAAGCGTCGTTCTTCTTGAAGCGCCCATTCTCATCCAGGAAGTTCTCTGGGTTGAAAGCAAATGGACTTTTAAACTTCTTGGGGTCGAACAGGACAGTGTGGAGCATAGGGTAGATTTCTGTCCCCTAGGAAAAAGAGGGAGAGAATACTGAGGTCAGAATTGCAAAGATTCGGGGAAAGCCGAGAGAGAGAAGCTCTCCACCCCTTCTCTCAACTGGTGGATTGCCAGCCACATCCGACCACCGGCCAACTCCTCCCTGTGACATCTACAGACTGCCCTGACTGAATGTGAAGGCACCACGTGGGTAGCTGACCCACAGAAATCTCATGCAATCTGGTCAAACGGTCAGTTGATCTACAGGTCTCCACCCCCCCCTCTACAGAAGCATCACTGTGGGCATCCATCTGGGGTCAGGGAGGCATTCCACCTCTGGCTGTAATTCAGCTTAAGCCAAGAGGAGGTCCAGCCTTGCCATTAGGCAGAGTGAGCCAGCTGCTTCAAGCGGCATGTCTGGAGGGTGAGAACTAGAGGCCAGGTGATGGAGGACAGGTGTGTCCCCATCATAGCTGTCAACCGTCCCTTATTTGGCGGGAAAGTCCCTTATCCCAGCACTGTGTCCCGCTGCTGTCCCTTATTGATGATGTCCCTTAAATTTCCCGGGTTTCAAAGGAAGCAGCTCCTCTCCCTCCCTCCCTGCCGGCCAGGGAGGAGGGAGGCTCCAACTGTGTTGCTTGGCTGCGTTGCTCACCCAATAAGGAGTCTAAGAACGACTGGGGGGTGGAGCTTGCATGCCTTGTGCCAATCAAATTGGCCGCGTTGCCTGGGGACTTGCCTTTGCTCAGCGCTTCCCAGCGGAGAGGTGACGGTGGTTTTCCTTGCTGCATCCCCTTTGCCGGGTTGCTGCGCTGTGGGAACCACCGCTTGAGGCTTCGTTTGGCTGCTGGCTGGGCTTTCTGCCTTTGGCTGGGAGTGGCTCAGAAGTTGAACATAGCTGTGCTCTGAAAATCCCTTATTTTGGCTGCTGGTCCCTTATTTTTGAGGCTTCTGGTCCCTTATTTTCAAATCTGTAAGTTGACAGCTATGGTCCCCATGCACCCTGTAAACTAGCCGCAGCGTGAGACTTTACCAGCTAGGCCCTGGTCATCTTTTGAGGATTGGCTGTTGTGTTGTTGTTGTTTTTAAGCGCTATGTTGGCAGCTTTTGCCAACCTGGTACCCTCTAGATGTTTTGAAATGCAACTCTGGTCAATCCCAGCCAGCATGGCCATGCGAGACACCTAGAGGTTGGTGCAGGCTGCTTAACGGAATGGCAAATCTTTAAGACTCTCCTGGAGGGCGTCCAGTCCTTTTCCTTTGCTAAATACCCGCCAATAACAGGAGCCAACATCACCTCATCCTGCCTCCAACAAGTTGATTCTGCGCCGGATGAAGACTCAACTGTTGCAGTTCTGGGCAGATGTTGGTGGCAAGGCACAAATCTGTGAATGTTGCTAAAGCCATTTCCGACCCCGGGAGGAGGTGGTGTTGCGGGCTTGCAGCCCCGCGCGATCTGGGGAATCCTGAGGCCGCGTCTTCCCCTAAGCCAGCCAATCGGCTGCCTCGGGGTGTGTGGCTTGCCCCATTTAAGGCAAGTGCGGCCCGGGGATCGCCCTCTTTGGACCGCTCAGCTGCCTGGTTTCCCACCCGCCCGCCCTTCAAGGTTTCCTTCTGACCTTGGTCGCTGTTAAGGGGCCTGGTAGGAATTTTTTCCACTTGGCAAATTGGCACCAGCCATTTGGTTTTTCGCCTACCTTGTAGCAAATCGTCACAACTTCCCTGGGATTGGCGGTTAGGCACTGGTAGGGGTATTGTTATGCAGATCTGTCGGGGGGGAGTGCAATCACCTCCCCCAAATATTGAAGGGGAGTCTGGTAAAGGATTCCGGGGGGTGTTGCCTCGTCCTGAAGCCTATGGAGGTCAGGGCCCAACCCCTGGGGAGTTACCTAGTTGATGTGCATCAGCAGGGCTCCCCCTGCTGGTGTTAACCCTTCCCAGTCTTCAAGCAAACAGGCTGAAGCCGGATAGTCTGATAGGACCAATGCCTAAGCCAATACCGCTTTTACCTGTAACCAATAAAGTTGTGGCCAATTTTAGCCCATAACCTTAATTATGGTGTCATGTGTCGTTCTTTCCACTGGTGGGAGGTGGGAACTCGCCACGCAATCTCTTTTAAACAACAACAACAAGAACCCATTTTGTTGTGTCCCACACACTTTTTATCCCCTCTGCCCCACAACGGATACCTTAGGGATGATGTAGCCTCTGAATTCAGTGTCGCGCATCACAGAGTGGGCCACGTTCATGGGGATGAGGTCACTGACCCGCTGCACTTCGTGGATGACAGCGTCCACATAAGGCATCTGGCTCCGGTCTTCAACGTTGGGGGCACGGTTCTGGCCAATCACTTGGTCAATCTCCTGGTGCATTTTTGCTGTCCAATGCATTTAGATCAGAGAAGGGTCAGAAAATCAGAGTCGGAACGGACCACGAGGGTCATCTAGCCCAACCCGCTGTAATGCAAGAATCTTTGGCCCAACATGGGGCTTGAATCCACGACCCCGAGTCTCGTAGTCCACTGCCTGAGCTATCCGTTTACAGTGGCACCTCTGGATGCGAACGGGATCCATTCCGGAGCCCCGTTCCTAGACACAACGGCACGTCTGCGCATGCGCGGGTCGTGTTTTGCCACTTCCGCACATGCGCGCTGCCCCATTTTGAGCATCTGCGCATGCGCGAGCGGCGAAACCCGGAAGTAGCTCCGTTATTTAAGGGTTTTCGCGGAGCGTAACTTGAAAACACTCGACCTGAAGCACATCTAACCCAAGGTATGACTGTACTTAAGATTTCTAGCACCAAAACGCAGTTCAGTTTTCAGCTTGAATCTAGCTAAATGTTTCTTTATTTCTCCAGACTCAAGGCAGCTTATGCAAATTAAAACAAGACAGGTGTAAAAAAAAAATACAAAAAGCTGAAAGCATATGAGAAGGTAAACATTTAATAAATGATTAATTCTGCCACGTGACAGAGATGAATAAACACCCAGTGATAAAAGATAATGGGAGAGGATTTACCCCAGCAAATTATTTGTCAAAATTACAAATACCCAAATACAGACAGCCATTTACCCTCGCTAGATTCAACGTGCTGCCATCTGCCTTACTGCAGGGCAGATTCGGGGGCAAACCGTACGTGGAACGAGTCTGCCCCTGCGGATTGATGGAGGTAGAAACTGTCTCTCATGTCTTGTTATGCTGCCGTTTCTACAGGGATATATGCTCGGTATTTATCACTCCTGTTATACAAAAATCTCCAAATGGGTCCGAACTTCAATGTCTGGAACTCCTGGTAGAGGACAAGGATCCAGAGATCACGCTAAGGTGGCCAAATTCTGTGCGACTGCCATAAAACTTAGGGAACAAGCTGTACTACCAAAATGATTAAGGTTTTAAATGACAATTTTAGGTTATATTTTAGTGATCAAGATTTAATATATATTTTTAATTGCCTCTATATATGAATTGTCTCTGTTATACCCAACTGCAATTCAATGTATTCCTGATGCGTTTTATGATTTTCCTGATATTGTAAGTGAGCCGGAACTGGTCTGTGACCGTAATAATAAAATTCAATTCAATTCAATAATTAATTCAACTCAAATGGAACTAAAATCAATCCTTAAAAAAACCCGCAAGTTTATTAAAATACAGGAATAAAAACAGCATGTATAAAAAGCCCTGCTGGGTCAGGCCAAAGGGGGACCCAGGCAGTCCAGCAACCTGGTCTCCCTGTCACCAACTAAACATCAGCATGACCTGAATGTAACAGCACTCTCTTGACTTGCAGTTCCCAGCAACTGGGGCCCAGAAGCATATCTGCCTCCATCATTGAAAGTACAGCATAGCCATCGTGATTAAGAGCCATGGTTTGTCTTATTCTCCATGGGTTGGTCTAGTCCTCTTTTAAATCTGTCCCAGTGGCCTTCACAACATCTTGTGTCAGTGAGTTCCATAGTTTATCACTGTGTATCCCCAACATTCAGCTTCACTAGATGGCTCTGTTGGGTTAGAACTGTTCCTACCCACTTTCTCCACACCAAGCCTAACTTTACACACCTCTCTCGTATCTCCCCCTTACTTACTCACTCACTCCCCCCCCCAACAGGCTAGGTTGGGCTTCAATCAGCCTGGCGGCAGTGTGCTGGTTCCCTTCCTTACCTTGCACTTCGGGGTGTTTCATCAGAAACAGAAACCCGTATCTCAGGGTGGAGCTGACGGTCTCCGTCCCAGCAAAGAACAAATTGAGTGTGGTGAGTTCTAGGTTCTTGGTGTTGAATTCGCTGGACAGGTTGCCTTTCTCCTGAAGACAAACAGGAAGCCAATGTCATCAGGATTCCCCCATGGGGGTGAGAAGTGGGGGGAGTTGGTTTCAGGGCTGCTGCCTCTGTAATAGTCCTTTTATGGAAGAAGGACGTCACTTGTCTGATGGGGGTGAAGAGATACTAGGCAAGCTGGACACATGTCACCCCATCAGATCATTAAGGCACGCCCCCTAGCGGTGACCCCGTGAGAGTTCCCAGTTGATGTGCATCAGCAGGACTCCCCCTACTGGTGGTTAAGCCTTCCTGGACTTCTAGCGGACGGGCTGAAGTCGGATATAGTCAGTTAGGACCAATGCCTAAGCCAATATCATTCATCACCTGTAACCATCACCTGCACACTCTAGGTTCACCAGTGACTGAAATGGTGGCACACCTGATCATGCCACAGGGTTCTGTCTTGGGCCCGGTCTTATTCAACATCTTTATCAACGACTTGGATGATGGACTCAAGGGCATCCTGATCAAATTTGCAGATGACACCAAACTGGGAGGGGTGGCTAACACCCCAGAGGACAGGATCACACTTCAAAACGACCTTGACAGATTAGAGAACTGGGCCAAAACAAACAAGATGAATTTTAACAGGGAGAAATGTAAAGTATTGCACTTGGGCAAAAAAAATGAGAGGCACAAATACAAGATGGGTGACACCTGGCTTGAGAGCAGTACATGTGAAAAGGATCTAGGAGTCTTGGTTGACCACAAACTTGACATGAGCCAACAGTGTGACGCGGCAGCTAAAAAAGCCAATGCAATTCTGGGCTGCATCAATAGGAGTATAGCATCTAGATCAAGGGAAGTAATAGTGCCACTGTATTCTGCTCTGGTCAGACCTCACCTGGAGTACTGTGTCCAGTTCTGGGCACCACAATTCAAGAAGGACACTGACAAACTGGAACGTGTCCAGAGGAGGGCAACCAAAATGGTCAAAGGTCTGGAAACGATGCCTTATGAGGAACGGCTAAGGGAGCTGGGCATGTTTAGCCTGGAGAAGAGGAGGTTAAGGGGTGATATGATAGCCATGTTCAAATATATAAAAGGATGTCACATAGAGGAGGGAGAAAGGTTGTGTTCTGCTGCTCCAGAGAAGCGGACACGGAGCAATGGATCCAAACTACAAGAAAGAAGATTCCACCTAAACATTAGGAAGAACTTCCTGACAGTAAGAGCTGTTCGACAGTGGAATTTGCTGCCAAGGAGTGTGGTGGAGTCTCCTACTTTGGAGGTCTTTACGCAGAGGCTTGACAACCATATGTCAGGAGTGCACTGATGGTGTTTCCTGCTTGGCAGGGGGTTGGACTCGATGGCCCTTGTGGTCTCTTCCAACTCTATGATTCTATGATTCTATGATTCTAAGGTGTGCTGGCAAGCAACAGAATCTGCAGAGCCCCTGTAGCAGTCCAGAGATAGCATCTCTTTGTAAGTGATGTGCGACTTAGTGAGCCTTGTGTGAACCCTATAGCTCCCTGTGGAAATCCCACCTCATGTCATACGCCAACAGGGTACCTTTTCCATCTGGATGAGGAAGCAGTCAATGAAGTCACGAGGGGCATTGAGGTCAAGGGTCTCCTTGTTCTTCTTCACTCTCTTGGCAATGTAGGCTCTCATGTCTTCCAGAATGTCATAGATCTTGGTGTGTGGCCCTGGAAAGTACTTCAGAATGCTGGCATACATGTCATAGAACTGCAAGAAGAAAGAAAAGGCACCGGCAGCTGACCAGGAATGCCTCCTCAGGGTCAGGAGAGCTTCCTTAGAAACCAAGGAGGCCCCACTAGATGATTAGTAGCTGTTATAAACTACGGCTGGCTTTCAGACCCTTGCCCAGCCTGGTGCCCTTCTGCTTTCCACATGAGCTTAGACTCCAAATCCCATCAGGCACAGAGCACAGCCCGCAAGGCCAATGCTCAGGGATGATTAAGATGATGGGAGCTCCATTCCAACCATATCAGGAGGGTGTCTGATTGGGAAATGGATTCGTGCTCTGTCTGCTTTGAGACCGGGTACCTGAGACCAGGCGGTGCTCATCTCCCGGAAGCTGTCATTCATCATCTTCATCAGGGCCTGGAAATCCTTGTCTTCGTAGTCAAAGCGGTCGCCAAAGACGATGGAGCAGATAACGTTGGAGACGGCGCGGCTGAGGGTGAAGGTGGGGTCGAAAGGCTTCTCTGCAATGCCAGGGAAGGAAGACGCATTGTGCTGAAGGGGCCAAGATATCTTGGGAAGTGTGAGGAACTGTGGAACACCTGCAAAGTCCTCTCCCAAACTATTCTCAAAAGATCATCTGCAGTACCCACCCAGAACTTAAGATACCTATTGCTGACCAGGCTACTAGAATGAAGACCTTCGCTGGCTATGGAGCAGCCTTCCCAGAGAGCTCTCTCAGCGCTATCATTATGGTCTCTCTTTTGTTGCATCTGGTGAACGCCTTTTTACTCACCCAGGCCTTTTAAACAATTTGTGCTGTGGCTCTGGGCCTCCCAACCATGTTTCATTACATATTTGCCACAGAGGACTATTCCGAACTCTGCTTTTATTGGATAATAGTATTATGCGTGTTAGGGATGCGGGTGGCGTTGTGGGTTAAACCACAGAGCCTAGGACTTGCCGATCAGAAGGTCAGCGGTTCGAGTCCCCACGACGGGGTGAGCTCCCGTTGCTCGGTCCCAGCTCCTGCCAACCTAGCAGTTTGAAAGCACATCAAAGTAAATAGGTACTGCTCTGGCGGGAAGGTAAACGGCGTGGCCGACTCTGGGGTTGCGGCGCTCATCTTGCTTTACTGGCCGAGGGAGCTGGTATACAGCTTCCGGATCATGTGGCCAGCAGGAATAAGCCGCTTCTGGTGAACCAGAGCAGCACATGGAAATGCCATTTACCTCCCTGCCAGAGCGGTACCTATTTATCTACTTGCAGTTTGACATGCTTTCAAACTGCTAGGTTGGCAGGAGCAGAGACCGAGCAATGGGAGCTCACCCCGTCGCGGGGATTCGAACTGCCGACCTTCTGATCGGCAAGTCCTAGACTCTGTGGTTTAACCCACAGGGCCACCCGCATCCCGCTTTATCTCTGCTTACCTGTTATTTCGGGGGCAATGTATGTGCTCTTTCCTCCCTGCCTGTTATCCTTCTTGAGCCCAGAAATTGTCATTACCTTTGGGACAAAACGGCTTCCTTTCCCCAGCCTGTCTGGGCTTTGGAGCTCGTGCTTCCGTGCGCTGCTCTGGATCGCCACATGACCCAGAAGCTGTACACCGGCTCCCTCGGCCAGTAGAGCGAGATGAGCGCCACAACTCCAGACCATTAGCTCCAGTCATGGCCAACTCTGGGGTTGCGGCGCTCATCTTGCTCTACTGGCCAAGGAAGCCTGCGTACAGCTTCTGGGTCATGTGGCCAGCATGACTAAGCCGCTTTTGGCGAACCAGAGCAGCACACAGAAACGCCGTTTACCTTCCCACCAGAGCAGTACCTATTTATCTACTTGCACTTTGACGTGCTTTCGAACTGCTAGGTTGGCAGGAGCAGGGACCGAGCAATGGGAGCTCACCCCGTCGTGGGGATTCGAACTGCCGACCTTCTGATCGGCAAGTCCTAGGATCTGTGGTTTAACCCACTGCGCCACCCGTGTCTCCCTTTATCTCTACTTATCCGTTATTTTGGGGGCAATGTATGTGCTCTTCCCTCCCTGCCCGTTATCCTTCTTGAACCCAGAAATTGTCACTGCCTTTGGGACAAAAAGGCTTCCCTTCCCCAGCCTGTCTGGGCTTTGGAGCTCGGGGTTCTGTCCAGCCTGGTGGGGCTGCTGACCTCTTCCCTGCCCTTCACTTGGCCTACTCACCTTTGGTCTTATGAAATTCCTCCAGCAGGAACTGGGCTTCCTCCCGGATCCGATCCTCAATTGTTTTTTTCCCCATGCCAAAATTCCTCAAGATGGTGAGGGAGAAGCGTCGCAGCTGCTTCCAGCGCTCTCCCTCAGAAAATACCACCCCTGCAGGTATGGGGAGGAGAAAGGGGAGAGGGATTGAATAGCAGCCAGGAAACAGCAGACACAAGACTCCTGTGTTGCAAGTTGGACCACTCTGGGTTCCTCCTCCTCACCATAACCATCAAAGGTCCTTTGCAGCGTGGGGTTGGTTTTCCTTCCGCTAAATTCCTCTGCCTTGTCTATCAGGGCCTCCTTCACAGCTTCATGTCCACAGAGGACCACAATCGGGCGATTTCCAAAGTAGACGGTGAACACTGGGCCGTATTTGTCGCGCAGCTGCATAGGAGAAAAGCCAAAGGCTACTTTTTAAAATTTAAAAAACAGAACAGTCTTTAATCCACTGCTTCTTTTTCTTACAATTCATTGGCACTCTTACATTCATCTCTGTGTTAAAATATGTTCACTGAATTCCCTCAGACTCTTATTTTGTGGGAAGGAGAGATATTCCAGGCAGGAGGCTTTCGGCACATGCTCAGAGGGCCTCTACCTGCCACCAAAATGCACTTTATCAAGCAAGGGGACAAAATGCATGAAAGCAAGCTTCCATTCCTGTTTTGATAAAATTTTGAGATTGGTATGTCTCACACAGACTGGCTCTGCAAGTGTCAAGATGCTCGTGGGACAGTTCTGCAAGGTTAAATGCCATTTCTTACTAAACCCTCTTGTGGTGTGTGGACAGAAATGATTTTAATGTTGTCTTTTGAAATGGCTCTGACCCAGAAGGCTCTAAAACGTGATTCTAGGCTGAAAATGCAATTCTAGGCTTCATCCACAGAGGTTTAGTCTCCAGATCAAGGGAAGTCATAGTCATTTGGTGGGTTAAGCTCCGTAGCCGACTGCATGCTTGCTATTGGCTCTGCTCCCCCTTATATTTGTTGGAAACACGCCCTGGAAAGCCACTAACTTCCCAAGACTCAGGGGTATCTCTCCGGTGGACCTCCCTGGCCCTAAATCTCCCTCAGTCCAGAGAGACCGGTGCTAAGCGAGAGGAGCACACTTGTCTTCTGGCATGTCATAGAAGAAGAGTCAATCGTAGTTCTAAAACTACTTTATTTACAGTCATGTATATACACAGAATCCATCAGCATGTCTGTGCTCTTTGAGCACCAGTACAGAAACAGAAGAGAAGACTCCCTGGAAAAGACCCTGGTGTTGGGAAAGATGGAGGGCCCAAGGAGAAGGGGACGACAGAGGACGAGATGGTGGGACAGTGTTCTCGAAGTTACCAGCATGAGTTTGTCAAAACTGCGGGAGGCAGTGGAAGACAGGAGTGCCTGGCGTGCTCTGGTCCAGGGGGTCACAAAGAGTCGGACATGACTAAACAACAACAGCACAGAAATGGCATCACAAACAGAAGTGAAACTAACTTCCAACAGTACTCCAACAGTACTGAGACTTCCTGTCTCACGCTCTCTCAGACACTCATGTGATATACGAAACATAGTGCTACTACTGGAGCAGCACGGATGGATAAAAATCCTAACAATATTCACCGCAAGCGGACCGGACTGAAGCCTGCTCACTCGCGGTCCGCTCGGCCGGCCCTACCTCCACCCAAGCCACTGATTGGATTATTTGAACTGGGGTTTGGCAGGGTTAGGGTTAGGGTTAGACTGGCATTCCCAGACACTTAATCCTTTTTTTTTTTGTGGACCATTTTGCTGCTCAAAATCCTCCCCACAGCGTGACGAACTGTTTCAAAAGGACTGGAACAAATTTATATTTTACATGAAAGAAAATTGTAAACATTTGAAAACCTTTGCAGGCTTGAATTGAAATGTTTTGTAATGTAAATATAAGGAACTGAGTTACCGATAACAAGGTGAAATACTGCAATAAGAAAGAAGATAAATAAGTGATTATAGAAATGAGAAGAATATAGAAAGATGTTTGGATGTCAGAAAAAGGGAGGGAAGGAGGTCGATGCTCTTATCGAGTAATAAGCTATAGAATTATGTAACAAAATGTGAATATGAAAAAAGTGGAAAATTCGATAAATATTACTTGAGGGGGGGGAAACAAAATCCTCCCGCCACCTGATTCATTTCTCTTTGCAGGGGAAAATAAACCACAAGACCTCCAACGAGCTGCCGTGAGGATCCTGCTATTGAACAAAAAAAGTAAGAGTACAAATATTTAAATAAATGGAGACATTTATGAAATATGATGCCAGCAACACCTGAACAAAAAAGCCTCACTATGTTGACACACCAGTATTTCATCACCAGGGGAAACATAGCTGAGCATTGAGGGGGGGCAGTGTTGCTTAACAATTTCCACTGTAATGCGCAGTTCTTTCTCAAAGGCAAATGGTTAAAGCCAAGATCAACCCGTCTCCTACTCTATCTCCCAACCTCAATTCCAACCCACCTCAACCAACCCTCTCTCTTTTTTTATATAAAATATTTATTGCTCAATCAACCCTCTCAACTCTCCTGTCTCTCTTCAAATCCTCTCCTTTTAAACGCTCCCTCCTGGAACCACGGCCAGTCGGAGGCTGCCGTTCATTAACCATTTGCTGGCAGGGAAAGAAAGAAATGCTTATTGATCCAACCAGTCTAGCAAAACCCAACGTTTTCGTCACACGTGGTTTCGAGTCGCGTGTTGGGCAAAAGATCCCTGCATTGCCAGGGGTTGGACTGGATGTCCCGGGTGGTCCCCCTTCCAACTTTGCAATTCTAGGATTCTATCCAAATTTAGAGTCTCCAAAAAGCTGCCTGTTGTTTTTTAGTCGTTTAGTCGTGTCGGACTCTTCGTGACCCCGTGGAGCAGAGCACACCAGGCACTCCTGTCTTCCACTGCCTCCCACAGTTTGGTCAAACTCATGCTGGTAGCTTCGAGAACACTGTCCCACCATCTCGTCCTCTGTCGTCCCCTTCTCCTTGTGCCCTCCATCTTTCCCAACATCAGAGTCTTTTCCAGGGAGTCTTCTCTTCTCATGAGGTGGCCAAAGTATTGGAGCCTCAGCTTCAGGATCTGTCCTTCCAGTGAGCACTCAGGGTTGATTTCCTTCAGAATGGATGCGTTTGATCTTCTTGCAGTCCATGGGACTCTCAAGAGTCTCCTCCAGCACCAGAATTCAAAAGCATCAATTCTTTGGCAATCAGCCTTCCTTATGGTCCAGCTCTCACTTCCATACATCACTACTGGGAAAACCATAGCTTTAACTATACGGACCTTATAGTTAAATGCTGTTTAGTTAAATGCTGCCTACCAGGATGCAAAACAGGTTGGAAAGTTTAAAAAGAAGGGGAGGGTTGTGAAAGATAACATGTAGGATTGCTGTTGAGTTGTTTAAAAAGAAAAAGAAAAAATGCTTTCGGACGTTAGCAAGAATCATGCTTAGCTTGCTGAGTGCTGAAAGTGCACCTCAATATTTGGTCCTCACAACAACCTTGCAAAGGTAGGCAAGTGGATTTACTAGTGTTACTTCTACTCACAGTAACGCTCTTTTGGCACCTCCACTTTCCCCAGGAAAACCTGCTCTTTAAAGCTGAACCGGAACAAACAGCAATTTGGGTTTTTTGAGGATTGCAGTTTGCTCGATTCCGTAGTAAAGAGCGGGTTTTCATGGGGAAAGCACCAGGGCAAAATAGGGAAAGTGTTCAAACAGGGAGCTTTCAAACACAGACCTGTGCCAAGAAAGGGCAGCGCAAAGGTAAGGATGGGTGAGTCCCAACAGGGGTTTTTTGTGTTATTTAACCAAGCTGGCATCAGGCAAATGGGCGAACATATGGATCCAAAGAAAACAGAAGCAAAAGATTACCAAGTGTGTCAACTCTCCTTTTTTAAAAAAATAAAATTTAGTGCAGTCTCTGCAAAAAACAAACAAACATAGCATTGAGGTTATAGTGTCATTTTACATCATCTTAGAAAATTAATGGGTCATTGTAGGCTGTCTACAGACCTGTTTGGAAACGGGTGGGAGAAATTTGCTATCTACTTCCCTTGTGTATGAAAAGAAGGGGAGGCAGGTTTCATCAAAGGTGTCTCTCTTTATAAAAGCTTTTGTACAGACAGGGCAACCATCATCTAATCTACCCAACTAGAGGCAGGCAGGCCGGCAGGGATACAAGGAGAGAGATGGAGGAAGGTGTTTTGGTAAAAGGCAGAGAGACAGGAATATCCAGAAAGCCACAAAGAAGACACAGAGATGCTTAGTTGGGGAAGCACTGTATTTTGAGCATATTCCTGCGCAAGAGAAAGGGTGGAGATGGAAGAGGAGAGAGATGGGGGCAAACTGATGCCTCCGTGCATCTCAATTATTTGAATTTCCCTTTGACTCCTGGGTGCTCTGTTCCTAGAAGGGCTAGAGGAGAAATCTGGTTCCGCTTTCATTGGAAGGCTAATCTACCAACCTTTCACTTTCCAAAACCATGCACAAACTGAAGCACATGGATCCAGGTTCTGCAACGCAGATCTCCAGCCAGACAATGACAAATGAAGACACCACAGGAAAGGGTGCATGCAAATTAAACTATTCAGGGAAATCACTTGAAAAAATGTGCACATTAGTCAAAAGGGCATGCAAGGGGGAATGTGTTTATAAGGAGACATTTGCACTAAAATGCTGGTAAATTTCCATGAAGATTTCTTTTTTAGAAAAATAGTTTGCAAATTTCTCCAGAAATATTGAGAACTGAATTTAAGGTTGGAAAACTGAGAAGCAGAGAGCCAAAACTGACTGCGCTTTCTGCCCCTGGTTCCCAGAGGCAGTCAACTCACCCTGAGGAGGGATTTCAAAGTTTCTGATGACTTGATCTGCAGGAAATTTCCAATCACAGGGAGCGGCATGGGTCCGGGGGGCAGCTTCCCATGGTTCGATATGCTCCTCACTGCTGCCGAAATAAGGAGCCAAGTCAGGCAGATGACAAGAAGGAGAGTTACAATGCTGGCCAGGTCCATGATGGAGGTCACTGCCAGTCTGTCCCAGTGCAGACAACTGTCCCATTTTGGCAGGGTTCTAGATACTGAATCAAGGCTGGATTTGGCCCCACCTTCTGCGTTATGTAACTCCACAAGGCCAACCTGTTGGGAGCTTTAATCCCAATAAACCTATGCCAAAAGTTAATCATCTATTTCCTGGTAATCAGGATTGTGAATATTTGTTCCAGGAGCACGAGAGTTTGTGTGCACATTCTTCGTGATGTGGGTAAACGATTTCCATGCCAATTGACTTTAAACTTTTTAATCTAGTGTTTTCTAGTCAAAGGTCATGTTGTCCGCCTTTGAACTCTCCTGATAATTGCGTATTGATTCCAAAGTTGTTATGAAATTTTATTTTTTGAGGGTGATTGCAAGACTAAAAGCCTCCTTTGAGTGGAGGGGCTGGAAGGAACAAGGAGTGAATAGAGGCCTGGCTGGAGTAGAGAGGGAAACAGCCAGAATCTGAGGAAGGTTGCTCATGTTACAGCTAAATAAACATTTGTTTTCAGCTTGCAGTTTCCAGCTTTCTTCACTAATACAAGGAACAACACAGGGGTACCAAAAATGTGACCAGCTAACTAAACCACAGCATACATCAGCTGGCTCTTCCAGCGGGGTAAAGGTAAAGGGACCCCTGACCATTAGGTCCATTCTTGGCCGACTCTGGGGTTGCGGCGCTCATCTCGCTTTATTGGCCAAGGGAGCCGGCGTACAGCTTCCGGGCCATGTGGCCAGCAGGACTAAGCCACTTCTGGCGAACCAGAGCAGCGCACAGAAACGCCATTTACCTTCCCACTGGAACGGTACTTATTTATCTACTTGCACTTTAAGGCGCTTTCGAACTGCTAGGTTGGCAGCAGCAGAGACCGAACAACGGGAGCTCACCCCGTTGCGGGGATTCAAACCGCCGACCTTCTGATCGGCAAGTCCTAGTCTCTGTGGTTTAACCCACAGTGCCACCCGCATCCCCTTCCAGCAGGGATTTAATGGCAAAAGATTTCTGCATTGCAGGGGGTTGGCCTAGATGCCCTTAAGAGTCCCTACAATTCTATGATTCTGTGTGCATAGGCCTGGGCTGCAAAAGTGCATTTGAAGAAAAAACAACAACTAATGTAGCCTTTGGCAAGAAAGCCAAGTGAATCCCACAGAAGTTAAACAATTCTGGAACTAGCTATAAGTTTTATTTATGAAAATATTTATATACCATTGCGCCATTAAAATCTTCAAAGCAGATTACAGCAACAAAACATAAAAAACCATACAATAAAACCATAAAAATTCGTAAACCATAAAAATTGGCACTGAAGATGCCTGCTAAACCTCTGTTGGCATGTTCCACATCTCGGTTTCTTGCTCTCCAGTGAGCCTCACCAAATCAGGGAATGATCAGTGATGCTCCTGCAGATGATCTCAGATGTGTCTGGCACTCAAAGGTCACCCAAGTTGACACCAGGAAAACTTCTCCCAGGTGAGGAACTTTGCATGGCTAAAAAGACCCCCTCCCTGCCACTACCTCCCTGAGTTCACACCAGACGCCAGTGGTGGTACAGTGGTTAGAGCTGGACTGTCCAACACATGGCCCAAGGGCCAGTCCTCAGCAACACTGGACACACACTAACTGCCACACTCTTCATGTTGCATTCCCAAACTTGGGTAAGTGAGGAGCTGGGCTTTGGGAAGGAGGCGTGAGGGATCTGGCTGTTAGGAATACATTCTTCACAAAACAGATCAATAGTTCCGGGAAACTTTAAAAAAAGCGCTCCAGAAGTTTCTTCGGCATTTGTGGCCTTGTCGGTTAGGACATTCAAATTTTTGCAGCATAGCAAAAGTACCTGAATTGAGTAAAGGAGTAAAAATGAAAAATTGTTCCGTTTTCCTTGATTGCAATGCATTCTAAGAATAAAAAACGTGGGTCTTATCCTAAAAGCAACAGAGTCAGCAAGAGCCAGCTTGGTGTAGTGGTTAGCCTAGTGTCACCCCTGGTGGAAGGGGAGAGCCAGTGTGGTGTAGTGGTTAAGAGCGGTGGACTTGTAATCTGGTGAACCAGATTAGATTCCCCACTCCTCCACATGCAGCTGCAGGGTGACCTTGGGCTAGTCATACTTCTCTGAAGTCTCTCAGCCCCACTCACCCCACAGAGTGTTTGTGGGGGGGGAGGGAAAGGAGATTGTGAGCCGCTTTGAGACTCCTTAGGGTAGTGATATAGCGGGATATCAAATCCAAACTACTCCTCCTCCTCTAATCCATTCTGACCTTTGTGGGCATTTTTCCAAATCAGAAGGAGGAGCAAAATATTTCCTTGTTCTAGTAGATTACTACAATCATTACACATGGGTATATTTACTGAAACATAAAAGTGAAACTTTCCAAGTAATAAATAAATGGGTTAACTATGTAGAGAGAAACAACATGCAGAATTGTAAAGGTGTGAAAACCCTGATGGAAATTGTTTGTTTGTTTGTTTGTTTGTTTGTTTGTTTGTTTGTTTGTTTGTTTTAAATGAAGGGGAGTGTTCAGAACCTGTGAATCCAGAAACATATCATTCAGTTACTGGAAGTTTGTTATATATTTCACAATGGAGTAGACCTGATTTGTGTTATTCTATTGGAATCCTTAGTAGGCTTGTAAGTAACCCCACTGAAAATGCGTGGAAAGGTTTGAAGAATATTCTTCTGGCCCTCCAGCTGTTTTGGGACTACAACTCCCATCATCCCCAGTTGGTCATTGGAGTCCCAAAACAGCCGGAGGGCCAGGTTTGGCCATGCCTGCTCTAGACTGTCACTACATCTCCGAGGTGAATTCAAGGTTCCACAGATGCATAGCTGTCAACTGTCCCTTATTTGGCGGGAAAGTCCCTTATCCCAGCGCCGTGTCCCGCTGCTGTTCCTTATTGATGATGTCCCTTAAATTTCCCGGGTTTCAAAGGAAGCAGCTCCTCTCCCTCCCTCCCTGCCGGCCAGGGAGGAGGGAGGCTCCAACTGTGTTGCTTGGCTGCCCGCCCCGCCCCCTCCAGCCTCCTCTCACCAGCCTCGGCCCCCAGGAGCCCCTCCCCGCCGGTACTGGTGGGAGCCTTGGGCCCTTCCGCCACCATCCTCCTCGCGGCCGCCGAACTGAGTGTCTCTGCCTGGGGCGTCCCTTCTGCCCATTACTGCCACTCCCGTTAGTACTGCAGCTATGCCACTGAAGGACCCGGATGAGATGTGCAGCCTGGCATGCCCTATGAATTGCTGAGGTGCTTTGAGAGGAGAGTGAGGGCAACCATAGAGAAAGCTGTTCAGAGAGAGGAGGAGGCGGAGGCGGAGGCACGGGCGGGTGTCTCAAGGGCTAACCTTAGAGGGGGGAAAGCGGAAGAAGGACTGCAAGCACTTCTCCCATAGATTTGTAGTGGTAGACTAGCATAGATGGTCTGATCTGCGGGTTTATTTCGGGCGCTATTTCCCCCCTTCCTCCCGCCCCGCCTGATGGAACTGAGAGCGGCAGATGGAGCACGAGAAAAAGATACAGAACTGCAGCAGCATCTTTGTAGCTTGGACTTCGTTTGGCACGAAAAGTGGTGGCTGCTTGTAGTTATTTAATTGCAGTGTTTCATCAGCTGGTGTCTTGAGCAGCAACCTCTGGAAACGAAGGGCTAAAAACCGGCGCTGCTCTCCCAAATTATCTGGTCCCTTTTAACTTCGTATTTCAGCTGGTTGACTAAAATCCCTTATTTTGGCTGCGGAACCCTTATTTTCGAGGCTGCCGGTCCCTTATTTTCAAATCCGTAAGTTGACAGCTATGCACAGATGATGTACAAAGGTCTGAATGACTTGGGATGGAAATACCTGCTCCTTTGCACCTGCCACCAGCAACAGGGCATTTGGCCAGGACTTTGGGATGGGCCTTTTCCATGATGGCTTCCCACTTCATTGAGTCTCTCTCCCGCTGGAAGTCTAGTTAGCACTTACACACTGCTGGCTTTCAGATGCTGCGTTAAAACCTGGCTGTTTATTCTGACCATTAGGCAGCTCCTGCCACTGTCATTGGATACTGTCCGAGGAGTTCTTTCTGTTGCAGATTTAATGCATTATTAAAGAGTCCCATGGACTGCAAGAAGATCCAACCTCTCCATTCTGAAGGAAATCAGCCCTGAGTGCTCCCTGGAAGGACAGATCCTGAAGCTGAGGCTCCAATACTTTGGCCACCTCCTGAGAAGAGAAGACTCCCTGGAAAAGACCCTGATGTTGGGAAGATGGAGGGCACAAGGCGAAGGGGACGACAGAGGACGAGATGGTTGCATAGTGCTCTCGAAGCTACCAGCATGAGTTTGACCCAACTGCGGGAGGCAGTGGAAGACAGGAGTGACTGGGTATTCATTACACTGATCCCTAAAAAAGATGTTGATGCTTTGGAAGTGAAAAATTATAGGCCAATCTCATTATTAAACAATGATTATAAATTGTTCGCGGACATATTGGCAGAAAGATTAAAAAAATTTTTAAACAATAGAATTAATAAGGATCAAACGGGCTTCCTCCCAGGGAGACAATTAAGGGATAACGTAAGAAATGTGATCAATATCATTGACTATTTGGATACTAAGATAGATAAACAGGCGGCTCTGGTATTTATAGATGCCGAAAAGGCATTCGACAATATTTCGTGGAGCTTCCTGAAGAAAAGCTTGAAATTTATGGGAATGGGAGAAAAATTTAGAAGAGGCATAGAAGCAATTTATCACGAACAAAAGGCAAAACTGGTAATAAACAATACTATAACAGAGTTTTTCAATATATATAAAGGGACTAGACAAGGCTGTCCCCTGTCTCCACTACTGTTTATAACAGTATTAGAAATACTCAATAAAAGACTGAGAGAAGCAATAGAGGTTAAAGGAATTAAGGTGGGAAAGAGAGAATATAAAATTAAAGCTTTCGCGGACGACATCGTACTAACTCTAGAAGACCCAAAAAACAGTGTAAAAGAAGCCTTACAAAAATTTGAAGAGTTTGGTGCGGTGTCAGGACTTAAGGAAAA